AATCGCACTGACCGCCATGAATTTATAGTAACCTCCTCCCAACCCCTAGGCCGGGGCGTGAGAACCAAGTCTCGGTTGAGTCGTTACCTAGCAACATGCTTTCTAGACCAGGACGCCAATCAGCGCGGACCCAGTAATGGGAGCAGTCCAATCACGGCGCGCTGTCGGGAACCTGGCCCTCTGGCCCTCTAGCCAATCTCCACAAGAGCCAATGAGGCGTTAGGAATTGTAAGGGCCGGAGCTGAGTGTTCTGAGCTGATTCTTATTTGAATCAAATAGAGACCAAATAGAGACAGGCACTATTCCGCCTGCATCTGAATGATGGTCCCAAAGGCAGGCCGCCGCCATATTCTCTTAGGGATTTTCCGGTCCCCTAGTCCATTCTGGGTACCAGAGGCCCCACGCTGCGGTGATTCCTCTGTTCTGCCCGCACCTTTGCCCCACGCGAGGCCAGTTCCGGGCCTGCTCAGACGCCAGATCTGGCAAGGCAATGTCTCCTCAACCCGGAAAACACAGTGATCCCAGTCTGGAGCATCTAAGACTTGGGGGCTGGAAGGGTACAAGGCGCCGCCCCATCCCCGCTCTCCATCTGAACCTAGAGAGTCTGGCCCCGTGTCGAGGCAATCGTAGCCGTATATTTCTTCCTGACTTTGGGGTGAAGTCTGTGGCATGCGCAGAGGGTTCTGCTCCAGATGGTGATACAAGAGACCTTCAGCCACCTGGAGGCGCTCGGCGAGGCCCTTTAGGGCCTCTTCGTTTTGCCCATTTCTGCTCACTCATCATTCCAAATGTTCCTAAACCCGTTCGGGGCGAAAGCTGCAAATACGGAGACTACTCTGAGGCGCAAAATGCTGGGATAGATTGGGGAATCGAGGTGCTAAAGTGGTGGGTATTGGGCTGGGCTCAGGCCTGGGGAGGGACTGTCCCAGAATGCCTCCTGGCAGCCTTGGTTTTTTGTTTGTTTTGTTTTTGAGACAAGGTCTCGCTTTGTCATCGGGGCTAGAGTGCAATGGCCCGATCATAGCTCACTGCAGTCTCCAACTCCTGGGCTCAAGCGATCCAGCTGCCTAAGCTTCCCAAAGTGCTAGGAGCCACTGCTTCTGGCCTGTTTTGTTTTGTTTTTTAAACTAATTTACCATGATCATACTTCCATGTCTATGACTATTCATCTACAGCATGGGATTTTTTTCTTTTCTTTCTTTCTTTTTTTTTCTTTTGGAGAAAGGGGAGTAACAGCTTTATTAGGATATTAACCACATACTATACAATTCACTTACTTAAAGTGTACCGTTAAATGGTTTTGTATATTCACAAAGTTGTGAAACTCCTGAGCTCAAGTGATCCTCCTGCCTCAGCCGCCCAAGTAGCTGGTAGTCCATGCCACCATGCCTGGCTAATTTATTACTATTATTATTTTTGTAGAGACAGGAGTCTTGCTATGTTGCCCAGGCTGGTCTCAAACTCCTGACCTCAAGAAATCTCCTGCCTCTGCCTCCCAAAGTGCTGGGATCACAGGCATGGGCCACTGCACCTGGCCAAAATTTACCATTTTAACCATTTTTATAGTTAACAGGCATCCTCAAACTATGGCCTGCGGGCCACATGTGGCCCTCTGAGGACATTTATTCGGCCCCCGGGGTGTTTTTGCTGGGGCTGCCTGTCTTGCTTAGCAGCCGGCTCCTCCCGGGCCCACATTGCGCATGTGTGGAATGTGCGCTGCACTTTCCAACAGCCCTCCAAGGGTCTGAGGGACAGTGAACTGGCCCCCTGTTTAAAAAGTTTGAGGACCCATGGTTTAGTAGTTAAGTATACTCAGATTATTGTGCATCCAATCTCCAGAACTTTTTCATCTTGCAAAACTGAAACTCTGTACCCATTAAATAACTCCCCATTTCCTCCGTCCACCAAGCCATGGCAACCACCCTTCTACTTTCTATGAATTTAGCCACTGTAAATACCTCATATAAGTGGAATCATATGATGTTTGACTTTTTGTGACTGGCTTATTTCACTTAGCAAAATGTCCTCAGGATTTATCCATGTTGTAGCATAGGTCAGAATTTCCTTCCTTTTTTAGGTTGGATAATATCCCATTGTCTATATTTTTTTATCCATTCATTCACTGATGGACCCTTGGGTTGCTTCCACCTTTTGGGTATTGTGAATAATGCTGGTATGAACATGGAAGTACAAATATCTCTTCCAGAATCTGCTTTCAATTCTTTTGAATATATACTAGAAGCAGAATTGCTGGATCATATGGCAATTCCATGTTTAATTTTTTGAGCACCTGCTATATTGTTTTTCACAGCAGCTGCACCATTTTACATTCCCAGCAACAGTGCACGAGGGTTCCAACATCCTCACCACCACTTGTTAAATTCTGGTTTGCGGTGTTTGTTTTGACCCAGTTCCTGCAGAACACATGACAATAACACTGGAGGGGTTTCCACTGACCTCAAGATAGGCTGCCTTTGATGCATTTTGGGTGACCTCAGTGGCACCCCAACTCTCAGGACCAGAAGAGTTTGGCACCACTGCGTTCCCAGAACTCCAGGCCATTGGTGCCCCAGGGTGAGGCCCTAAGGTGAGGCTGGGAAAAGAGCCCTGGATCCATGGTGCTGCCCAAGCCTCACTCCGCACCGGCCAGGAGAAGGAGGTCAAGTGCCATGAGCTTTGTGGCCACCGCTGTGTACTTCTCCCCAGAGAGTGGCTGTGTCTGCAGCCTGTTCAGAGGGCCCAGGACTGGGATGTGATGTGGGAGACCTAAGGCCACCTGGGCACAGCCCAGCCTGACCCTTCTCCCGCTTTGTGCAATCCGAGGACCTTTCTAATGCTTCTGAGAGTGTGCCTGCTGGTCAAGAGGGACTTCTCTGAGGGTTGGTGAGGTCACATCCCACTTCTGCAGAGGAAGCACCTTCTCTAGGCTCCTGCCTCAGCCTCCCGAGTAGCTGGAACTACAGGCAGGTGCCACCATGCCCGGCTAACTTATATATATATTTATATATATATATATATATTTTTTTTTTTTTAGTTGTCCAGCTAATTTTTTTCTATTTTTTTTAGTAGAGATGGGGTCTCACTCTTGCTCAGGTAGGTCTCGAACTCCTGAGCTCAAATGATCCTCCCACCTTGGCCTCCCAGAGTGCTAGGATTACAGGCATGAGCCAACACGCCCACACCCAGTAAAATACAATAAATGTATTTTACTACATCAGAAAGTATCATTATTCCCTTCACACCCAGGAATTTCCTGAATTTATGCTGGAGACCTTTATGGCCATGGAATTCAGCTGTTTATTCAACAAATGTATATTGAGCACCACTGCCCTGCCTAAATCCTACTCCTTCATAGACCAAACCTGTTTCCCACCTGATGCATCAATTTGGAAGTTCATTAAGAAGAAGGATTCTGGCCAGACATAGTGGTTCACACCTGTAATCCTAGCACTCTGGGAGGCTGCTTGAAGTCAGTAGTTGGAGACCAGCCTGAGCAAGACCCTGTCTCTACCAAAAGAAGGAAAGAAAGAAAGAAAGAGAGAGACAGAGAGAGAGAGAGAAGAAAGAAAGAAAGAAAGAAAGAAAAGGAAGAAGGAAAGGAGGAAAGAAAGATAGAAAGAAGGAAGGAAAGAAAGAAAGAAAAATATTAGCCAGTCCAGACTACTCTGGAGGCTGAGGCAGGAGGATCGCTTGAGCCCAGAAGTTTGAAGTTACAGTGAGCTATGATGATTGGCACGGCACCCTACCCAGGGCAACAAAGTGAAACTCTGTCTCAAAAAAGGAAAAAAAAAAAAAAAAAAAAAAGGAAGAAGAAGAAAGAGAGGAAGAGGCGGAAGAGAAGAGGGATTATGCTGTTAACTTATGATTTGGGCAATTTTCATTTTTTTTTTTTGAGACAGAGTCTCGCTTTGTTGCCTAGGCTAGAGTGAGTGCCGTGGCGTCAGCCTAGCTCACAGCAACCTCAAACTCCTGGGCTCAAGCGATCCTTCTGTCTCAGCCTCCCAAGTAGCTGGGACTACAGGCATGAGCCACCATGCCCAGCTAATTTTTTCTCTATATATATTAGTTGGCCAATTAATTTCTTTCTATTTATAGTAGAGATGGGGTCTTGCTCTTGCTCAGGCTGGTTTTGAACTCCGACCTCAGCATCCGCCGCCTCGGCCTCCCAGAGAGCTAGGATTACAGGCATGAGCCACCGCACCTGGCCTTGACATTCTACCGATGCTCTCCACTCCTTCCCTGCTCCAAATCCCCACTAGTTCAATAAATAGCCACCTTTCTGTAGGTCAGAATAGAATTCAAGAAATGTTAACTGCAGTTTTTTTTTTGTCACCTTTGTTTAAGCATCTTCCTCAGAACGTCTCACTGCCTGTCTTATTTTGTGACTTTTTCTGTCACATCATTTGTCTTTATTTCTTGAAGGCTTTGGGTTAGTGTTTTGGCTGTAGTAGGTGCTTTAAAACATTTAAAACATTAATGGGTTAGACAGATAGATGTGTATGGCACCAACTGAGGTGAGAGATTGGCAAAGGGCACATTCTCCTGCCCCCAGTACTGCTGGGAGATGGCACTGAGCTGGTGAAACTCTGCACCATAACACTTACACAGGAGAGGGGAATGATGGGGGTGAGGGGAGGTGCTGGCTGGTTCCATCAGCAATTTTCTGTTTCCTTCACATACATATTTGAGTCATTCTATTACTAGTAGTTGTGAATTTATATGCCTCACTAGACTGTAAACTCCATTCAAAGAACAGCCCATGACTTATTTCTGTAACCCTGCATCTCCTAACTGTCTAGCATTATGTTTTGTGCATTGAACAAATGTCATGTAAAAATAATGTATGGATATTATGCAGAAGATTGAACCTGAGAAGAGACCAAGAGGTGAGGAATTCCTGGGTTGGCAAGCAAATTAGGATAGTGTTAAGATGCCTAGTTCAGTGATGTGAATAAAGGCCCTGTCAGCCCCAGGTTTAAATCTTTGTCCCTCCTCCTTACCAGCAATGTGACCCTGGAAACTCATGGAATCCCTCTGAGATCGTTTCTTCAACAGTAGATCCGGATGATAATCACCAGTTCACAAAATGGTAGCAAAAAATAAATAAAAGGAAATGTGTAATATGTTGGGCATGCCGCTTGCCCTCAGGAAACAATAACGTTAATTTCCTCCCCTAAAAAGGTAACAATGAAGTTAACCATCATCCAAAACGTAGGATGCTCTAAGAAAACCACAAAAAGAACCGATAATCTCAGCTCCTGCTTGGCCCCACGGGCTCTGTGCTCAAATCCTTCCCTAATTCAGAGATAGGCTGAGTCTGCCAGAGAACAGTGAAAGACAGCCAGAGGGCCTTCCACTGATCGTGGGTCGCCGCAACCTGCTTCACAACTCAAGGCAGTCGCCCGGCACTGAGGAACTAGCTTCCTGCCCTTATGCATCTGTTGGCTTCGTTCAAACAGGCGCCTTTGCCAGCACCCAATCAGAACGTTCGATCTTCGGCCAACGCCCAATGAACGCACGTAATGGGGAGAGAAAAAAAGAGAACGTGAAGCCCAATCGCACCGCCATTATACTTGAGGGCAGAGAGGTTAGGAAGCCGGCATGGCGCTCCGGTCAATAAAATCGATAGCTGGAAGCTGCCTGTGTTCCAGGCAAAGGCGGTGCAGTAGCAGCGCCGCCATTTTCCCCGAAGGCATCTTCCGGTGCCTTTCACCCAAGTTCGGGCAGGAGTTTCCTGAATAACAGAGAAAGGTTTCCGTTAGCCCTGCGGGCAGCGGATTCCGATTCCCTCCGGGCCTCCCCAGCCACGCTCAGCCCTGGTCTGGCTGGGGCTCCTAAATCCCGGGGTCCGCCACCGACCAAGGGACGAGGCCAGGACGGGGAAGGCCGTGGGGCCGGCTTCTCAGGTCCAATGGCGCCGCCTTCGGCTCCGCTAGCCGCGCGGGGACCAGGACAAGCCAGACCCAGTCGGAGAAGGGGAAGGAGGCCGAGGGCTGTGAAGTTCGTGGACGTAGCCGTGTACTTCTCCCCAGAGGAGTGGGGGTGTCTGCGGCCCGCGCAGAGGGCCCTGTACCGGGACGTGATGCGGGAGACCTACGGCCACCTGGGCGCGCTCGGTGAGGCCCGGCCCAATCCGCTTCCGCGGGGCGCGAAAGGCTGGAGAGGAGCTTGGGGGCGGGAGGGGGGAGGGCAGGGAGTTCAAGGTCCTGGCCTGCGACCAGGTTGTGTAAGGGGAGGGGGCAAGGGCTAGGCAGGAGATGCCATCGGGTAGACATTTACCCAGTGTTACTTAGGAACTGGCCCTCTGACTTGTTCTCCTTCCCCAGGGTGCGCAGGTCCCAAACCAGCCCTCATCTCCTGGTTGGAACGAAATACCGATGACTGGGAACCAGCTGCCCTAGACCCACAGGAGCACCCAAGAGGGGTAACAGTCCAGAGAAGTGAGTGAAAAATAACCTTGGAAAGCCTGCAGCCCTCCTATAACGTTCTAGTCTCTAATGACTCAGTCCAGAGTTTTGTCCCATGACCCATGCAGTGGTGCTGCATTTACTGTGTTTATTTTCACAGTCTCAGGTTCTTGGCTCTGGTGGTGTGGGGACAGTCCACCACACAAAGATTCCCACGTCACTTTGCAAGCTAACCACCTGCACTTCTCGATTGTGTATAAAAGAATCAGTGAGCTTTTAAAAGGAGCTACCTTCTTGCCTCCTTCCCTGGGTCCCTGCCCCCAGCCTCCTTTGAATTGGGTCTTGACTGAGAGATCCTAAAATTCTCAGAGTTTTCTGGGTTTTGGTTGAAAGGAGCCCTTGGGGAACCTGGGATGCAGCCCTCTTTCTGCTCTTATGGTGGGGTGACCCTAATCAGTGAAAATCATACTGCACTTTCCTCTGGATCAAGCAAAGCTCTGGTTAACACCATTCTGGGAGAAAGGCGCCAGCCAGATCTACCAGGGGCAGTTGGAACTGTCTGGGCTGGGGTTTCTGTGCCAGATTCTCTAAGGCCAGGGATATCTTTCAGAAGTTCAGATCTAACCATCATATTTCCTTGCTTAAAACTTTTCAGTTTTTGCCAAGGTTGTCAAATGGCTGTCAGTTATATCTAAGTCATTTGGGAAACTTGGTAAAAATATAGATTCCAGGACCTCATCCCGGAACTACTGATTCGCTCTTGTAGATGTCTAGGAACTTGTATTTTTTTAAATATCCTCAGTTGATTTGGATATACATCTAAATTTGTGAGCCATTGGATAAAATATAGTCCAGGGTCCTTTTTAAAAATTTTTTTCTTTGAATTTTTTTTTTTAATTAGAGACGGTCTCCTTCTTGCTCAGGCTGGTCTTGGACTCCTGAGCTCAAGTGATCCTCCCGTCTCCACTTCCCAGAGTGCTGGGATTACAGGTGTGAGTCACTACACCTGGTCAGTCCAGGGTTCTTAATAGTTCTAACATCAGTGATCTCAAAGTGTCCCAGACCAGCAGCACCATAACTCTGGAAGTTGTTAGAAATGCAAATTCTTGAACCCTACCTAGACTTGCTGAATCCAGGACCCAGAAATTTGTTTCAATAAACCCTCCAAAGGATTCTGGTCACAATGAAGTTTAAGAACCATTGGTTTAGCGGGCCGTATGAGCCAGTCACTGCCAGCTCATACCTCATTTATTTCCATTTCCTGCCTTACACTTTTTGTCTAAGATCTTATAGCCCGTGCACACTGAGCCTTGGGACTTTCATGCTGTCTTTTCTTCCTTCTCTGCCATTTCAACCTTTCTAACACTCCATTATGTTAGTTCATCTTTTAACAATCAACTGAGTTACATAAACTATGGCTCATTCTACAGTACCGTGAAATAGAATAAGGATGTGTGCCAACTAGAACAATCTTTAGAATATATTAAGTAAAAAAAACGAAGGTGCAGTAAAGTATGCATAAAATATATCCTCTATGTAAGAGAGATGGGAAAGAGAATATAGTTGTATTGCACAAAAAACAGTAGAAGGAAACTAATTAATATGGTGTCTTCAAGGTAGGTGGGGACAAGGGTGGGAGCAAGCCATCTCTGTGCTCCTTTTAAAATATTTTGAATTTTGGGCTGGCAAGGTGGCTCACGCCTGTAATCCTAGCACTCTGGGAGGCCGAGGTGGGCGGATTGCTCAAGGTCAGGAGTTCGAAACCGGCCTGAGCAACAGCAAGACCCCATCTCTACTATAAATAGAAAGAAATTAATTGGCCACCTAATATATATAGGAAAAATTAGCCGGGCATGGTGGTGCATGCCTGTAGTCCCAGCTACTCGGGAGGCTGAGGCAGCAGGATTGCTTGAGCCCAGGAGTTTGAGGTTGCTGTGAGCTAGGCTGATGCCATGGCACTCACTCTAGTCTGGGCAACAAAGCAAGACTGTCTCAAAAAATAAATAATAAATATGTTAATAAATAAATAAAATATTTTGAATTTTGACTATGTAAGCTACCTCTTCAAAAATGTTCAGTTTTTTAAATCAGCTTAATCTTCTCCAAGAAATCTCACCAGACTTCTCAAGCTGGTTTGGGGCTCCTTTGTGTCACACCTAGCTGTTTGTGACACTCACAATTGCGGATGGGGGCTGAGGGTATTGGTTTTCTACTTGTAATAAGCAACAGTAAGGAGCTCAGTGTTTGTTAAAGTAATTTCTCCCTGTGTTCCTGTAGAAAACAGAACTAGAAAGAAGAATGGGGAGAAGGAAGTATTCCCACCTAAGAGCCACCCGAAAGGGAAAGCGAGGCCGGCGGCCCAGCAAACCCGGATGATTCCCAGGCAGACATCCGGGGGACCCATCTGCCCTGACTGTGGCTGTACCTTCCCTGATCACCCGGCCTGCAGAGCCACAAATGTGCCCAGAATCTGAAAAAGCCTTACCTTGCCCAGACTGTGGCGCCGCTTTTCCTACCCATCCCTGCTGGTCAGTCACCGGCGGCACACTCTGGTGAGTGCCCCTATGTTTGTGACCAGTGTGGCAAACGTTCTCTCAGCGCAAGAACCTCTCCAGCACCAGGTTATCCATACAGGCGAGAAGCCCTACCACTGCCCTGACTGTGGCCGCTGCTTCCGTAGGAGCCGGTCCTTGGCCAATCATCGGACCACGCACACAGGCGAGAAACCCCACCAGTGCCCCAGCTGTGGGCGTCGCTTCGCCTACCCCTCCCTGCTAGCCATCCACCAGCGCACACACACAGGAGAGAAGCCCTACACCTGCCTCGAATGCAACCGCCGTTCCGCCAGCGCACTGCCCTGGTCATTCACCAGCGCATCCACACTGGTGAGAAGCCCTACCGTGTCCAGACTGTGAGCGGCGTTTCTCTTCATCCTCTCGCCTGGTCAGTCATCGGCGTGTACACTCTGGTGAGCGTCCCTATGCCTGCGAGCACTGTGAGGCCCGCTTCTCGCAGCGCAGTACGCTGCTCCAGCACCAGCTCTTGCACACGGGGGAAAAGCCCTACCCCTGCCCAGATTGCGGACGTGCCTTCCGGCGAGCGGCTCCCTGGCCATACATCGCAGCACGCACACCGAGGAGAAACTGCACGCTTGTGACGACTGTGGCCGCCGTTTGCCTACCCTCACTGCTGTCCAGTCACCGGCGTGTGCACTCAGGCGAGCGGCCTTATGCCTGCGACCTTGCTCCCAAGCGCTTTGCCAGTGGAGCCATCTGGCTCAGCACCAACTACTGCACACTGGAGAGAAGCCTTTCCCCTGCCTTGAGTGTGGCCGATGCTTCCGCCAGAGTGGTCTCTGGCTGTCCACAAGTGTAGCCCAAGGCCAAAACTGTAGCCCTAGATCTGCTACTGGGGGCCCAGTCAGAGGGGCAATGCTCTTTAGAATGGGAAGGACTGCATATGTTCATTTCATTTCATGAAGGGCCCAGAATAGGGAAGGAGGAGCCCTAGGTCACGCAGGGCAAAGTCAGAACAAACCCAGGTCTCTTGCTGCACAGAACTGAACTTTAGTATATTCCATTGCACTGGCTGCCTTCCTGTGTGTGTCAAGGACAGCTCTCATTAGAATGGTGACATCATTTGGTTAAAGTTTTCCA